TTTTTTTATTATTTATTTCAATTGTTAATTGTTAACTGATTATTTCATTATTTCTTCTTTTAATACTCAATTCAATATTTCATTTATTGTGTATATAATATTTAATTATAATTAATAGAATATTAAATAAATAATCAAATATTGCATATTTTATTATTTATAACTAAATAATATTTTATTATTTTAATTGTTAACATATTATTTCATTATTTCTTATTTTAACTTGGTCAACGGCTATTGTGAAAAAGTGTCCGGGTCAATCGGGTATTTTCCATCATTTCCTCCTCTTCCGTCCTGTTTCTGTAACGTAAGGAAAACGAAAGATTTTTTAAGAGATTTTGTGGGTTTTAGATTGGGGAGAGTTTTGGACCGAATTTGTACGAGCCCCTTAGAATGTTGAGGCCCTAGGCAGTGGCCTAGTTCTCTTTGGGCCAGGGCCGGCCCTGGGCCAACGCTGGAGGGTGCGACAGAGAGACGGTAAGGTTTGGGATCTTTGGTGGCATATTTAACTTCTGGTTTTTGCTCTCTAATGATGTTTGTTTTTTGTTTTATTTAACTCTAAAAGATGTGATAATTTAATTGATAAACTAGCTCTCTGTTTGGCCCCCATTATCCCAAAAATTTATTCTTTTCTCTTATTTTCAACCACATAATTTTCCATAACAAAATATTACACGTAAATCAAAAAAAATTCTTTCTTCTTCAACCACACATTCTCAAAAAATATATATATATTCTAAAAATTATAATTTCAAACAATGGGTGCCAAACAAGGGCTAGACAGAATCCGCTTCTGAATATCAAAATGCTATAAAAATGGAAAGTTGACTACTTGAATGTCGAACAAACATGAAACGAGATGCAAATTCTCATCTAAGAATAGAACGGGGCTCTGGATGCAAATTTCCTTAAAATACAGAGTACACGACAGGTGTGGCCATTTTCTTTGCACTTTCATCGACACATTACAATGCACAGTGACTCAAGTCTCAAAGGGACCCCAACAAGAAGCTCCCTCTCTCCAAAGAAACAATAAGAAAATATCAATTGAGTCAATGAGAACTACAGATAAATCAATCAGCTATCAAAGAATGGACCATTGTAGCAAGTCAAGTTTGCCATATAGAAAATACTTCAGCAGCAAGGGCAAGCTAGTCCTGTGTGAGCTTCCTCAACAGCTCCAGCCACCTTAAAATACAAACCTGGCACAAGAAGGAGAAAGCAAAAGCAACCAAACAAGTTGATTTAGTCATCCTAGTAGACTAATTAGCAATGGATTTTGTACAGCCAAGGTTAGCTCAAGCACATTTCTCCAAAGAAAATGTAAAATCCCTCACAAAAACGGGAAGTTCCAAAATAACATGAAAATCCCTTAAAACTAATAAATATCATGTGTACAGACCCATATCATAAGATTTTATAAAGTTTTCTATTGGTTGTCAACCTACCACAAGCCGCCTCCTTCAACTAGTCCCGTGACCGGCTATGACAAAAGCATAAGTGGACTAACTTAAAACTACGTGCTCTCCATTTTTACATCTAAAAATTGCATAAATTTTTTAAGGTCTCAATGAAATCTCAACCCTCCCCACACCAAAAAAAAAAAAAAAAAACCAAATCAAAGACCTAAAATACGTAAACTTGCATTCACGTAGCCAAGTACAGGCGTCATTTGGGAAATCTCTGATGGCGAGCGAACCTCGCGTGATTTCTATTCTAATCTATCTTGTTTCATTATTTTGAACTTGGCATAGTTAATTGTTGTTTATGTTTTCCATTATATCTAGTTGTGTATATATTTTAGTTCAGCTTTGTTAACAGGCACTCAGCACCAAACAAATAAAGAAAAAATGTGAAGTTACTATACTTGTAATACTGGCCCAGCTAATATATCTCATCGTCAGGGATGTCTGGAGTCAAAAACTTTTTAGGGTCCTTGCTGATCTCCTCGTAATTGAATGTAGAGGCCTTGACCTTTTCAGGAACAGGCACAAGTGGTATAATGCTATCTCCATCAATAACTCCATCAATTATGCCATATTCAACAGCCTCAATAGGGGACATGTAACGATCTCTATCAATATCTTTTTCAACTTGTTCAAGTGATCGACCGGTGAACTCAGATATAAGTTTTGTGACATTCTTCTTATTGTGCATAACTTCCCGAGCTTGAATTTCCACATCTATTGCTTGGCCACTAGCACCCCCCAGTGGTTGATGTATCATGACTCGTGTATTGGGCATTGCAAAGCGCTTGCCCTTTGTGCCACCACCAAGAATTATAGAAGCAGTTGATGCTGAAATGCCCAGTGCAACTGTGGAGACATCAGCCCTTACAAGCCGTACTACATCAAAGATGGCCATTGTAGCACTGGTGAAAGATAGAACAATACATATGAATCGAGAATCTAGAGAAGCATGCAACTGTGCACACTAATTCAAAATCAGTAAACTAGAAGAATGAAATTCAGTAAGGGGTACAACATAAAAAGGCAGATGTAAACAAATCATATTAAACCAAGGCTCAGTTTGGCACATTTCACCCCGTGTCAGATTAAAAACGAAATTTTAAGCTCTGACCAGTGTGTGTATGTTTAATACTTAAGATTGCAAAAAAAAAAAAAATCGAAAACTCGCCTAAAAGTACTTCAAACAAGTTCACTCTCCAAGTCTCTTGTTCCCTGAACTAAATCTACACAAAATTTACAAGTCTATAACACACAGAAAAATTGCATTGTTTTTCCTTTTTCTTTTCTAACCAAACTGAACTGATGTCAGAGATATTAGTATAAACATTACAGATATACAGAGCATACCATGATTGTGGAAGGATTAAACGGAACCTTCGGCCAAACCACCATATCATATGAACGTGGAAAAGTGAAAGGGAAAAAGGCAAAAAAGGGCATCAACACAAGTTGACTCTATTAAGATTTGAGGGTCCATCTTAAAAGGTCAACCTTATTAAGAGGAGTAGCCCAAGATCTTTATTAATTGGTCTGTGTCAACATCTTTATTCGATGTGGGATTATATCCCTTAACACGCCCCCGCAAGATGGTGGCTCATTTGAGCAGACCAATCTTGAAATCCACGTGCTCACTTTTTGGAGTCTTACCGGGATCGAATCGCTCGTTGGAGCATAATGGGCTCTGATACCATATTAAGATTTGGGGGTCTATCTTAAAAGGTCAACCTTATTAAAAGGAGTAGCCCAAGATCTTTATTAATTGGTCTGTGTCAACATCTTTATTCGATGTGGGATTATATCCCTTAACAGACTCCTACTATGGAGATGAGATGATTGGAGTCACTGACAGGCACTGTTCAAGATCAATTCTACGACTGAATGGACGCATTATGAGATATGTCCTAGCACAGGACTAGAAATGTCGTACAGAGGTTGATATCAGTCTTTAACACGCTCTTCCATCGATGCTTCAAAACTAGCTCTTTCATCTATGCTTCAAAAATAAAAAATAAAAAATTTTGCAGTTGCACAATATTTGAGTTTATTGTTTGACACGCAATTTCATCTTCAATGTCCTTTAGAATTTAGATCCTAAATAATATAAGAAGATTATAGTCATAGAAATACGAAGGTATATGGTAATCTGAAATCTTAACTTCCATTGGGCAAATCTATACTATCCACTTATCCAACACTCGTTTCTATCTATTTATAAACTAAACCGTTTATAAATTCTTCCCAAATGGAGACTTAACCTCTGACCCCTTAATGAAGAAAAGAGAATCTTGAAATATTACATCGAGCAGTTGAATCCCCAAGGTCATATATGCTAACACCCTTTTATAACGCTCCAGAAATCTGACAATACATTACGAATTTTTAGTACATAATCTGCCCATTCCTTGTGTTTCCTAAACATCTAGTATTAGTCCCGGCTCATTTAGTAAAATCTTCTCTCTTGAACTCAATTGCCATTCAATAATTTGCACGACGATGCCCACTTTCACTTTTTGACACAATGGTTGAGATGAATTTTCACAGCCTCAGAAAC